CCTGAGATTGTCAAACACTAAAATCTGAACACACATTGTTTAACCTCATCTTACTGGAAGCAGTCACAAGAAGAAAACTCCAAAATAATGAATCAAATAAAGCATCAGTGGAATGGATTATAGTTACCATCCAAGACACATGTTAGAGCAAAAGGTCAGGAATGTTAGGGTAGAAATTGTGAGTTATGAGTTGAGAAAATCGATGGTCCTTAATCATATAGAAAGGTAATGCTAGTCCCCTAAACTTTCAAATAGCAGTCAAAATGTGTGTTTTGATTGTGGAAGAACTCTAACGCATCTTCAGCTCTTTATTAGCCATACATTTCCCAAGCAGAATGAATATTGAAGAAATTAGAACATAAAACAAAGGAAGCAGGAAAGAGGAGTTTGATGCTAGATCTGAGTGGCTTCCAAGTATTCTTGGAAACTTCACACAGATTGAGGAATTGTTCTGGTCCATAGAATGGATAGATAAATGTAAATTACTATGATGATCATACTTGGAAATTGCTTTGATTCCATGAGTGAAAGATAAGGGAACGGATATCTACACACAAATCTTAGAAAGTGCAATTGAGATGTGCTGGTAGCAGTTTCCAAAGATTGACATATCACTTTCAAGATCCTTACAGTCACTTTATTCACAATCCTTTTCTCTTTCTCACAGTCTTTAATCTCATTTACCTTTTGCTTAACACCATCCTCTACTCTCCTATATTTGAACACATGAAAGTTTGAAGCTTGTATTTTTGGTTTTTATTCACTGAAGTATCCTCTGTATCTAGGACACTGTCTGGCAAATAGTAAGTACTCAGAAAATATTTACTGAACACATATATTTATTTATAACTAGAAAATTTTACTGGCAAATGCTAAGGATATAATGAGACATGAGTTAGATTCGCTATGAGGGTTTTACTGGCAGATACTAAGGATACAGTACAATACTAGGGACATGAGTTAGATTTGTTATCAAGATACAATAAAAAAATAATAATACAATGGCCTCATGTTAATTACGAAGTGATCTGTGAACTAAAACTAAAAATTTAAGTGTTTTTATCCTAGTTTTCCTTTCTTGTTCCCGGGCTATTATCTGAATAAGAGTACATCCGTTAAACACAGATGTACGACTGCAGATTTTAGGCATTCTCCTGCATCTAAAACACCTTGGCTTTAGAGGCATCGACAGCATACTCTTTGTCCCCCGGTACAATCCAGGCTATTAGCTTTGAGGCCCATTCCTTTTGTTCTACTGTTCTTCCTCTTGTCACTACCATCCTCATAAACAGCAAACACCCCTCCTCACATTGAAAGGTGTGACACAGATTCCACTGTAACCTAAATACCACATGACTTGAATATCCACATGAGCCATTCAGTGAGAATCCCGAACTCATCAACTTTAAAGACCATTAATTTGAATCCCCTTTAGCCATTAACTTCCATAGCCATCATCTAGACAGGTCTTATGACAATGTGCTGTTCCAGCTCTGAAATCTTACCTGCAGTCTAAAACCTCCCACCCTGAGATTCTCACCCTCAGTTACTCACATTGTACTTGTTCTTTGACTATAATGGTCATTTAGTCCCTCGACACCTTTTTTTCTTTTTCTCTTTTTATTTAACTTTTGTTTGAAGTTCAGGGTATTGAACTTAAAATAGGTTTGTTATACAGGTAAACTTGTGCAGATTTGTTATATAGGTAATTCTGTGTCATGGGGGTTTGTTGTACAGATTATTTTGTCACCCAGCTATTAAACCTAGTACCCATTTGATATTTTTCCTGATCCTGTCCCTACTCCCACCCTCCACCCTCAAGTAGGCCCCAGTGTGTGTTTTTCCCTCTTTGTGTCCATGGGTTCTTATCATTTCATTCCCACTTATAAGTGAGAATGTGCAGTATTTGGTTTTCTGTTCCTGAGTTAGTCTGCCGAGAATAATGGCCTCCAGCTCCACCCATGTTCCAGTAAAGGGCATAATCTCATTTCTTTTTATGGTTGCATAGGATTCCATGGTGTATGTATACCACATTTTCTTTATCCAGTCTTTGATGTGGATTTAGGTTGATTCCATGTCTTTGCTATTGTGAACAGTGCTGCAGTGAACATACACGAGCATGTGTCTTTATGATAGAATGATTTATATTCCTTTGGGTATATACCCAGAAATGGTATTGCTGGGTCAAATGGTATTTCTGTTTTTCGATCTTCGAGGAATTGGCATACTGTCTTCCACAATGGTTGAACTAATTTACAGTTCCACCAACAGTATATAAATGTTCCTTTTTCTCTGCAATTTTGTTAGTATCTGTTATTTTTTGACTTTTTACTAATAGCCAATCTGACTGGTGTGAGATGGAATCTCATTGTGGCTTTAATTTACATTTCTCTATCAGTGAAGTTGAGTTTTTTTCATATTATTGTTGGTTGCATGTATGTCTTATACAAACTTCTTTTGAAAAGTGTCTGTTCATGTCCTTTGCTCACCTTTTGTTAGGGTTTTTTCTTCTTGTAAATTTGTTTAAGTTCCTTGTAGATGATGAATATTAGACTTTTGTCTGATGCATAGCTTGCAAAAATTTTCTTCCATTCTGTAGATTGTCTGTTCACTCTGTAGATAGTTTCTTTTGCTGTTTAGAAGCTCTTTAGTTTAATTAGATCCTATTTGTAAAGGTTTTCTTTTGTGACAATCGCCTTTGGTATCTTTGTCATGAAATTTTTGCCCCTTTCTATGTCCAGAATGGTATTGCTAGGTTGTCTTCCCAGGTTTTTATAGCTTTGGGTTTTACATTTAAGTCTTTAATCCATCTTGACTTAATTTTTGTAGATGGTGTAGGGAAGGGGTTCCATTTCAATCTTCTGCATTTATCTAGTCAGTTATCCCAACACCATTTGTTGAATAGGGAATCCTTTCCCCATTACTTGTTTTTGTCAGCTTTGTCAAAGATCAGATAGTTATAGATGGGCAGCCTTATTCCTGAGTTACCTATTCTGTTCCATTGGTCTATGTATATGTTTTTGTACCAGTGCCATGCTGTTTTGATTACTGTAGCCTTGTAGTATCGTTTGAAGTTGGGGCATGTGATGCCTCCAGCTTTGTTCCCCTTTATTTTCAACTTATTTCTCAGAAGCTTCTTACCAGCTAAACCAGCTAAAATCAAGATGGAGATGAAAGTGACCTCCGACTGGCCCCACTCCTCATTATACACTAATTATAATACATTTGCATGCTAAATGAAACTCTCACCACTACCATGACAGTTTACAAATGCCATGACAATTCCCAGAAGTTACCTTATACAGCTTAAAAGGGGAGGAACTCTCAGTTCAGGGCTCCTTTTCCAGGTAATTCATGAATTTATTTATTATTTAGCATATAATCAAAGAATAGCCCTATATATATCTATCCAACAATCCACAAGTGCTGTCACTGCTGCTGCTATTACTCTGTCTGTGGAGCAACCACTTTCCTGTACTCTGTAGCTCCAATAAACTTGCCTTCACTTTGCTCTGTCAGCTCACTCATGAATTCTTTCCTGTGTGAAGCCAGGAAACCTGTTGGGCTGGTTTTGGGGATCACCTATATCACTATCACTTACTATATCTTGGACAAATTGAATCTTTTCTTCCAGGCTTTAGTTTCCCTGTTTATAAAATGAGGATGATAATACTACTTAATTCATAGGATTAAATAATATTATTTACTTTATAAGATTAAAATAGCTTCCTCATAAGCAGACCCCGGAAAACACCCTCATCAGATTATTCTGCTAAGAAATTAAACCAAGGAAATGGAGCACAAACCCTAAAGACTCCGTGTGTTTCCGTGTTTGACCTCCAGAGGGCAATGTTTCATAGACTGGAAATGTCTCTGCTAAGAAGAGTTCTGTCTTTCCTGAGCGGCTTTATCTGACAGCTCACTGAGGTGCACATTCTGAGTAGGATCAACACCAGAAGGGTTGTTGTCAAGTGAGCAGCTCTTACTAGTGGTCTCTAGGCCTTACCTAAACAGGAAACTCTTGAATCCTAGATTTTCCCCATTATAAGGACTCACCATCCTCTGGCACATTCCTTCCTACTCAGGAGATCTTCTAGAATAGAGCTCTCAGCTTCCTCACTGCCTAGCCATGCTGTTAGTGGTCATTCTACTGCTTGGAATGTTCTTCACACTGAGTAAGTATAATAATATTGTTTCCCTGCTCCCGTCTCCATAAAGGCACATTGTTCCAATCAGAATCTAAATAGAGACTCTGTCTCACTACAGGTAGATCTGTTCTGGTCTCACTAACAGAGTTTGATGTTGCAGGAGGAACCAGAGCCCAGTCGGTGACTCAGCTTGATGGCCACATCATTGTCTCTGAAAGAGACCCTCTGGAACTGAAGTGCAACTATTCCTATAGTGGAATTCCTTCTCTCTTCTGGTATGTCCAATACCCCAGCCAAAGCCTTGAGCTTCTCCTCAAGGACCTATCAGGGGCCACCCAGGTTAAAGGCATCAAAGGTTTTGAGGCTGAATTTAAGAAGAGCGAAACCTCCTTCTACCTGAGGAAGCCATCAGCCCATGTGAGCGATGCTGCTGAGTACTTCTGTGCTGTGAGTGACATAGTGCCTGGGACTGCAGGAGGAGCTGAACACAAACTTCCAGAGACACTGAGGTCTTCAGCAACTCAAGGGCACAGCCTGACCTGTTTGTGGCAAGCTCTCTTTTGATGAAAGTGAGAAAGGTGGAAGAATAAAGCCATGAGGAGTGCTTGACTCCAGGGAAGAAACAGAGACTTCAACACGTTCCTTCTTTTACTACTGGGTTACATCAGACAAGACCTAGAAGAGACAGACTTGTATGACTATTCTCCTTCTGCTTGGAAATACTGCATTGAAGAGGGTCAGGATTTTAAATTAGTGTGACCAGTAATGAACTCCTGATCTTTCTCCTTCTCACTGCCAACATGTTGCTTCTATTACCTTTTGTTATTCAATTGACAGCATCTCATTCTTTCAGAATCTCTGCCCATAGCCTCAGAGTTATCTTTGACTCTTATTTTTTCTTTCACTATTCACGTCAAATCCATCAAGAAATTCAGTTGGTCCTAACTAAAAGATTGACCTAAAGTTTGACCACTGCTATCTCTTTGGTCAAGCCACCCTCATCTCAATGAATTACTGTAATAGCCTTCTAAATGGTTTCCCTGCTTGTCCTCCTACAGAACATTCTTAATACAGCAGCCAATGAGAGCTTTCAAATATAGATAGGTCACTCATCTGCTCGAATCCTTGCAATAGCTTCCCATTTCTCTTAGAGTAACATCAGAGTACTTACAGTGATCTGTAAGAATGCATGATCTATCTCTTGTTACGTTTTAAAAACACCAACAGAAAAATAACGTTGGCCACCCCATATTCTATACCAGTAAAAATATCACAAAGAAATTATAGTAAAATAAAGACATTCTCAAATGGAAAACTGAGAGAATTCATTGTGAGCAGACCTGCTATAAAGAAGTCCTAAAGGAAGTTATTCAGGCTGAAGGGAAAGGATACCAGAGGAAAATCTGTAACTTCAAATACAAAGGAAGTACAACAGAAATAGTAAATATGTAATAAGATATAAGAAACTAGTTTTCATTTCTCTTTTACAATCAGCTTTATTGAGTTATAATTTATATACAAAAACTATACATATTTAAAATATGCAATTTGATGAGTTTGGTCATATGCATACAATCATGAAATGATCATCACAATCAAGGCAATAGACATGTTTGTCACCTCTAAAAGTTTCCTTGTGACTCTTTGTTTTTGTTGTTATTGCTGATGTTGTTGTTGTAAGAAAAATTAACATGAGATTTACCCACAATAAATTTCTCTGTGCACAAGCCTATATTGTTTACTAGGGGCACTATGTTGTATAGCAGATCTTTAGAACTGATTTTTACACAACTAAAACTTTAAAACCATTGAACAACAACTCCCAATTTCTCCCTCCCCTAAATCCCTGGAAACCATTACGTTATTCTCTGCTTCTATGAATTTGACTATTTTACATACCTCAAATAAGTGTAATCATGCATTATTTGTCCATCTGTGACTGGGTTATTTCACCTAGCATACTCTCCTTCAAGTTCAATCTCTGTTGCATGAATGGGCAGGCATGTTATTCTTTTTCCTCAAGCTGAGTAAGATATTTCCAATCTGTATGAATGTACCAGCCAATTTATTTATTTGTCCACTTAACGTTTTTTTTTTTTTTCTATCCCAACTTTCTTTTGCTAAAGTATTTTTGGGCAGTATTATCAAAACCACATGAACGAAGAAATAAAATTGAGCCACCAAGACACAAAAACTACCTCAAAAATGAATAAAGACTTAAGCATGATACCGCAGAGAGGTGTTAGAAACCTACTCAGAAGAAACATGTAGAGAAAAGAGCTTCATAATATGGCGCTTGAGCAATGATTTACTTGGGTATGACAACCAAAAACACAGACAACCAAAAGCAACAAAATAGACCCATAATATCTATATCGATAAACTAAAAAGCTTCTGTACAACAATGGAGCAAATTTATGGAAAAGGGAGAAATATTTTCAAACCGCTATATTGATAACGTGGCAATATACAAAATATCGCGGTAAGGAACCCCCTCAAAAACCCAGGGTACACCCAAACAACAACAAAAAATTTTAATGGGCAAAAAGACTCAAAGGAAAAGACATTTCTCCGCCAAGAAGAACAGCAGCAAAATAGCCAACAGGCATATGAAACAAGGTATTCCAGTAAAATCGACCTACATCTCAGTGGAAATGCAAATCAAAAACCAAACAATGCGATTATCACATCCAAATGTTAAGATACCCTTATTTTTAAAAAACGTTAAGTATAGATACCAAGGCTATGGGCCAAAAACGAAATCCTTACACAGTGTGTTCGGAAATGGTAACACTGGTGCAAGCTGCTATAGAAAATATTATGAGGGATCATTTCGCGTCCAAAAAATTTGAAAACAAAAATTAAAAGAACACAACCATATATCCCCAGCACCCCAGCCTCTGGTTATATGCCAAGAGAATTGAAATCAGGATCTCAAATAGATATCTGTATTTCCACGTTAATTTAAGCATTATTCACAATAATTTCTCTTCTTAATTTATTTAAAATGCATAGACTGTTGAAATAAAATGTTATAAAATTCCCCGTTGGAGTTTTCAAAGTCTAAAGACAGAAGGCATCTGACAACTATAACATGGAGGAATGAGGATGAAATAACCTATATACAATTTCTATATTTTTCATGAAACAGTATAATAAATATAAATAGACTGTGAAAGATTAAGTAGTAAGCATAGTAGTAATAGGCAATCCTAATAGAAACCACTAAAAACATGATGCAAAAAGAAATAGTCAAAAATCAAATAGATACATTGTAATAGAATAATAAGAGACCAAAACAAAGGGCAGAAGTGGAAAATGAATACTGAAATAATAGACTTAAATACAACCATATTAATACATGAAATGAAATGGTCTAACATTACATGAAATGTAAATGGTCTAAACACAGATATTTATTTATTTATTTATTTATTTTTAATTTATTTATTATTATTATACTTTAAGTTGTAGGGTACATGTGCATAACGTGCAGGTTTGTTACATA